TGTGTTTCACCTTCTTCTGCTCAAATTTCATCTGTGCAGAAGAAGTGCCGCTTGCTGCGCGCATGAGTAAAATCATACGAGTTGATTTTTGCGAGTTTAGTGTTCTTATTCAAAACAATGATTGTTGAACCGAATGGGCAAGCGCCCGACATCATTATATTGACCACGAGCCGAACAAACTCGGAGTGAAACAGAACATCGCACGTACCTGAGCGAATTTAAAATCAACAACGAAAATACAAGTTTGATTGGCAGATCCGAACAGTGTATTCGGCTGTTGAGCGCGTTTTTCATTCACCCGAAGCCGTTCTTTGGTATACACAGTACGAACTAAATCGGTCGATAACTTTTCAAGAAATCGTGTTCACCGACTTCAAAAGCACAGTTTCGAGCAAACGCGTTTAAAGACAGGGCACTTAGCGCAGCTAGCTTTGAGTGCACAAGTTCTCAAGGCTGTATCTCCGAAATTATTACTCAGATCAACTTTAAAATTTAGGACTATATTCTAGAGTTATTGTATAATTTAATAAAGCAAACAACAAAAAAAAAATGATTTTTGGAAATTTTCAAACCCACCTAACCCCTTAAGCGACAAATTAGACTAGACTCAGCTCGTCATACATTAAGTAATCCATTTTAGATTCTCTACTTCTTTAAAGAAACAACATAGAGTCTTCAAGTTTAATGGGCGAATGACACACGCAATGTCTTACTCCAAAAACTGAATTGAAGCGGGACTGTCCGCATAAACATAAGAATTTTTATATCTCCACAGGAAAAAGTCTAATGGTGTGATGTCATACGATCGTGGTGGAAAATCAACCGACCCATAATGTGAAATTATCTGCTCAACGAAGTATTCTGTCAATAAATCGATTGATTCATGCAATGTAGCGCCATTTTGTTGACACCAAATGTCACGGAGATCACGAGCTTCAATTTCAGGCATCAAATATTCTTTCCTCATGACGCTAGAACGATCGCCGTTGATTCCGACAGCTCTGGAATCGCTTCATGTCGTTCTTCGTCCCAAATGTGGCAATTTTACATATTTACATTTCCATTGTGCCAGAAATGGACTTCATCGCCGAGCAAAATTGGGCGCGAAAGCGTCGGAATTTCTTGGAACTTTTCTAGAGCCCATAGATTAAAGCGATGCCACTTTGAAAGGTAGATTGGCTTGCACAAGTTGTATTTTGTGCGCTTTCAATTTAAGATCTCGACATAAAAATCGAAAGGCGCGGACTTGACTTTCCACGGTCTTCGTGTACACTCTCAGCTTCGGCTGCTATATTTTTTTCAATTGCGTGCTGGACATCGCCTATTCGGCCGAATATTATCCAATAATGAATACCAAGTCTCAAACTGGTTGATAGTGTAGCGAATAGTATTCTCAGTAACCCGATTATGTTGACCATGAGTTGAGCGAAGCACGCGAAACACATTCTTTACAGAACGCGAATTTTCATAATAAAGTTGACCGATTTCTAAACGTTGTTCAAGCAAGCATTTCCATGATGAAATCACAAATAAAACTGTCAAAAAAGTACCTCTACTTTGATCGCCCGTTACATGTTATAGTGTTCGAACTATGTGTTAAAAGCTTTGTAGGACTTGCCAGAATGACTAGCTGAGTCGATTTCCTTCTGTCAGTCCCTCCGCCTGTATTTGTTGTTTCAGATATCGATCTAAATTTTGCACATATCTCTCTCCCTACAGGATTCTCTTTAAAACCGCTGATAACAGAATGCCTGACAAGTCTTTGTATGGAAAACTTTTTCATTTGACGAGATATCTTGCCGTGATTTGACACGAATTATAGCCTAAACCACAAGTGCAAGCACTAAAGAAATTGTTCAGATCGACATATACCACACAAATTGACCACTCAAAGAAGGTTATGTGAGTTCCTTTATATTTCTGAAGCATATTATAGCTTCCGTTTGGATGAAATTAAGGTACTTTCTTGCTTTACTTTTTGCAATTTATAAACAAATGACAGGGGTGAGAGTAATATTTTCTAAGACAGCGCTCAGTTTTTAAATATTATGTCTTTAAACCGATGTGTATTTATGGACTGTAAGGAATTAGCAACCCTGTTTAAATTTATATTTAAACTTAACGCTTTGAAAACCGCTATACTATATATCCAAATTTTGTTGCGTAGTGCATTGTGTTATAATTTATTAAATTTTTATGAAGAATTTATATCTAGGGATGAGTGGCAACTTTATTTAGTATTAATTAATTTCTTCATATACTATATATACTAAAATTTAAGTTTTTGTATTTTTTCTAAAACAATAGGTACTTAAATCAAAGGCGCGCATATTTTTTTATAATTCTGATCTTTTATATATTTCTAAATTTAGTTAATATGGCAACCCTATTACAATTCACTTTTAAGCCTATTTATTTTATGTAAACTACTTTACTTTTTTGTTTTTTTGTTTTTCAAAAAATGTGGCAAAAATGTACATAGTTGGCAACTACATAAATTTACTTCAATATTAATTGAGTTAAAGAGTAGCCTATTTCTTTTAATAAACGGTTTTGTGTAAATTTTAAATTAATACTGAATTAATATTGAAGTTAATTTCAAAGCATTTACTCTGGCAACTCTATTAGTAATAAATGTTTACGAATTCGAAAAAAAACTTTTTAAAAATCGTATTTCTTAACAAACTCGAAAGATTAAATTCCGAAATGGGCTTCCAAATTAGAGAATTTTTAAATCGCTTTCAATACGTGTAGGATTTCTAACCGGTTGGAATACAGACAGTAAGATGTGGACGGTATTTGGAACTTTTGTTTTAACCATAAAAGCAATGTTGTCGTCAGCGTAAGCTTTCACCCGACAATCTCGTTTCTCGAGTTCCTTAAGTATGTAGTTAGCCACCAAAAACGGAAACAGTGTGAAAAGTACCCTACACACCGTCTTATCGAGGTAGTTAAAGCACAAGATCCAAAGCATTAAGGAAAATACCCTACACACCGCCTTCAACGGCACATTGTTGCTGGTTCGCTCAATGTCGAGGAAAGGCCTACAGCAAATTCCTGGTGCATAAGTGTTTGCTCTAAACATAACACTATATCGCGCGAAGCAGTGTCGACACACCACCCTTTGCCACGCTGGGCTCTTAACAGTTTTGAAATTAGGAGTTTATTACGCCTTATACGAGGCTTAAACTAAGCAATATAGTTCCAACACACAGTGTACAAAAGAACCCCAAATTAGTCTAATACGATTCGAAGAACAGCAGATGGGTTGAAGAAAGTTACAAAAATGCTAAAAATTGGAGAAGAGGGAGCAAGTAGCGCGTTTCATATACTTCGAAAGTAATTTCACCATCTACTAGTTCAACTAGTTTCCCATTTTCATACAAAAATTACACAATTTTTTCATATTTTTTATAAAGAACTAGAATTGATTGATTGAATATTGGTTACTTACAGTGTTTGCTCTTCTCGGCAGCGACTTGATGTTGGGGCGCCTGGGCCATTACGCCGAAAAGCATTAGCCACATAAGCAGCCATTTTATGGTTGGCGCTGTTGTTGCCATTGTTCTTGCACACTCCGAATTAGCATTTGCGTCGGCTTTTTTTGTTGTTTCTGCTGCTGCTTCTGTTGTTGTGTTCACAACGCCAACTGTTGCCGTCTCCATGACGGTCGCATTTTTTACTTGCTTCGCAACGCTTTTGCTCTCAAAGTCGGTTTTTGCGATGGCCGCTGTTAGTGTTGTTGTTATTGTTGCCCAGGCAGTTGCCAGCAGCATGGGTAATTTGAAAATTGACCAATTGTTATTGTTTTTGTTTTGTTTGGCGCTCTCGGCAATTACAGTAGTATACGCTTTGGTTGAATTTGTTGTTGTGCAATCCAAAATTGTTGTTGTTGTTGTTGTTGGTATGCAAAAAACATCATCAGCTTTGGCCGACTGCAATCCTTCAGTTCGCTCAGCCGCAGTATTGGCAGCCAAGCGCTCGCCAGCTGCTTCGACTCGACTACTTGTTGTTGTTGCGATTTTCGCTTTTGACTCTGCCACACTTTCGGCCACAACAACTATTGACTTTAGCTGTTTTTGCGCCACAGTTTCAACACATTTGCCCGCAAGCCGTGAGCGCTTGTTGTTGACGCGGCCGCCCGCAGTTGATAGCGTTGGCGGCGGTGGCGGAGGTGGCGGAGGTGGTGGCGGCAACGGTGGCCCCGGTCCACACGATGTCGGCCGCAACATGGCGTCTACACGTCTGCAGCGTCGTTTTTACAGCTCAACTGGCGGCCAAGCTGGCTGATTTGACTACACTCCTTTTTCTACTTCTACTTCTTCCTCTTCTTCGTCGTCTTCTTCTTTTTGCTTTGTTTATGTAAGTCCGTCGCTTTTTGTTGTGTTTTGCACCTTTTTAGTCACTTTAAATTGCATTTGCTGTTTTCTACTTTGTATTTTTTACACTACTCCTCTGACCCACCCACTGAAATTATTGTTAATATTATTGTTGTTGCAGTTTGCTGCCTCATTTTAGCGCAATTAGGCGCTTTTAATTGCAATGACACTTGCAGAAGCTGGCGGCAATCGCATTGCTACTCGGAAATTCTCATCAATTTCCATCGGCGAACGGCTTTGTGTGGGTGAGAGAAGAGAAATTGTGCTGTTCTGGAGCTCACTGCTGACCGTAATGAGTGTGCTGAAATTGGAAATTGAGGGAAATGCATTATTCGTGGATATTTTGATAACTGAGTTCATAAAGCAAAATTGTTGTTAGAATAGTTTATTGTAGATTTTATTGTTTTTTTTGTTATTATTATAAATATTTTGTTTCGTTCATAGGAACTCTTAAAAACTTTGCATTACTAAAGTGTCTGAACAGGTAAAATTATATTTCCAATCTAAGAATTCTACCAAGCAATACAGTCATCAAGCTTCACCAAATGTACCTAGGAAATAAAAAGAGTTCCTTGCATTCCTACGAGATTTCACCGCTTCATAACCGAAATGGATCAGTCTTATCCACGAGGGAAACTGTATATGGTCTAAACCTTAAGTAGCCAAATAATTAAAACCTCCAAAATAGGCTACTTAGGGCCTGACCGATCTGAATATTAGCTACACATCGACTCAGATTGATAATCACTCCTTCAGTCGTCTAAACGCATATAAATTCCGCAGTTTGCTGCGTAATATCCAAAACACAGCAGAAATGAACGAAGATGTGCGGTCAATCGCTAAGCAACACTTTAAGCATCAGTATACGAGTATATGTATATACGTAGGATTAATAAACAACCTTCAAATCGATTTTGGTGGATGAAGTTGCGGAGAGTAGGGCTGTACACTCTCGCGAACACATGATATTTTAAGCTAGAAGCAAACTAGTGAGAATTTTACTGCCCTATATGGAAATTTGACAAAGTACTCGTCGCCATAGATATATTTGCCTGGTAGTTCGTGGAGACAAGAGATAGCTTTCGAAGCAAGAATTTTGTGTGCAATGTTTTGAAAAGAATTTAAGAATAATCCAAAAATTGAAACTTTGTGTAAAGCCCATTACGATTCCAAAAAAAAAAAAAAACATCAAAATCAGATATAAAAAAGCAATTTTTAGGCTGTTAACCCGTTCAAGACAACTAAACCATAACAATAGGCATCTTCGTCAACCTTATATGTTGAATAAAAATGATACGTTAGTTTGGTACGTCCGCGCAGAACGTCCAAACCGTACCACTAAGACTTGAAAAATTTGCAACGGTATACCTTTAGTCCTGGAGAAGTTCCAATAAATTGTATGGATCAAATTTCTGATGCCACAATGTTCAAGATGTTGGAAAAAGCCTTCGTTGATAATTGTCTATCGCGAGCAAGTGTGCTTGATTGATACAAATTATACAATGAGGTTTGACAAATAGTTGACCACGAACCACGTCCAGGACGGCCGGCAACAACAACTAGTAATCAACTGGTCAAAAACAAATTGGTACATGGAAAATCGACGACTAACAGTCAGAGATTTTACTGGTATCGTTGGAATATCTGAAGGATCAGTGAAAACCATTTTGATAGATCATTCAAGAATAAGAAACGTGATAGCATGATTGGTTCTAAAATTACTAAATTTTTTTGAAACACAGCGTCGCGTTAACGTCTGTGACCGCCAGGATGCCATTGAAAGTGTTTACATGCACTGGCGATGAGTCTCGCATCTATGCTTAAGACCCGTAAACAGACGGTCAATTAGCCGAAAATAATGTCAAAGGTGAGTCGGAACCGGAAAAAACACGTCAACGCGCGTCAAATCGAGGTTATGTTGATAGTTTTCACCGATTATTGAGATGTGGTGCACTCCGAATTCCTTTCCGTCGGCCAAACTATCAACAGGGAATACTATTTACGTGTTACGCGTCACTGGCGTGAAGCTATTCGTAAAAAGAGGCCGGAATAATGCGACGACCTCTCTTTGTTTATGCAGCACGATACTGAATTGAATCTTATTTAGTTTTTCGCCAACTTCTCAACCAATATCCGGCCGCAACTAACTTATTCGCCTGATTTAGCTTCTTGTGATTTCTGGCTATTCAGCAAACTCAAACGACCGATCCGGGGAAACATTTTGCAGTCAATTTAAGACACTAAACCTGAAGCGCTACATGCATTGACTTTAACAACTGTTTCGAGGATTGAAAAAAACGTTGCCATAAGTGTATTGGGCCAAGGGGAATTACTGTGGCGGATGTGACAGATATTTTCAAGAATTAATTAAGAATTTTAAAATATAAAAACAGTCTTACTGTTTTTCGCTCATAGTAGTATATATATACTGACGAGTGGCCGTACTAGGTTCTCAGTTTTTGAGATATCCCTCTGAAATTTTTCTCACATTTTTAACAAACTGAGCGATCAAAATCAAACTCAAATTCTTGGTTGGAAACTTATTTATGGAATTGTATTCTAACTTTCGTACAATCAAAGTTTTTTCTTAGTTAATCTCCCTTTGATTAAGGGAGGGTTTGGTTTATTCGATTCACCACTCACCAAGATTCCTTTTGATTTCCACAAGTATCTTACTCACTTGATAAAATGTCACTAAATGAATATTCAAACCAAATGAAATCAAGAACTTGCAAATTAAAACTATTGATAGCTAAATAATTTATAAATATGTATACATAAATTCCAAATAGTTTGCTTTAAATTTCTAAATAAAGAATCGAGTTCGAATTTATGGTATCAGCATTAGTAACTAAAGTGATAAGCCAAAAAGTCTTGAAATAAATCGCTTATTTACTTTGTACACAAATAAATACGAACCTATTAATATACCCACATAAGTATTAATATGATATACTAATTTGTTATGCCTAATGAACTTTGGCATCAACGACGATCTCTCAACCCACAACTGATAGCAATTTTATTCCAGTTAAAATAGTGCACAACAAATAATTTCCATAAAAAAATCAAGAAATTTCAAATAAACTAATCAACCAAATCTCGAATAACTAAATATTCAATCTCAATGCCTCTCTCCTACTTCGAAACACAAACGAATGATGAACAATGTTTACGAATTGTTCAACTTTATTACGAAGAATGGTCAACATAATCGGCCTACTCAGCGCACTATTCGCAAACATCATCACCCATCTTGAGACCCAGCATTCATTATTGGATTACATAAAACCTAATAAACCATATACAGCACGCACGAAGCTGAAAATGTACACGAAGACCGTGGACCGTCGGCGCCATTTGCATCAACTAGCACTGACGTATGGAACGACTGGGCGCATTTTACGACGAGACCTTGAATTGAAATCATACATAAGATTCATTTCGAATAGAAAACTGAAAAGATTCAAGAGCTGTTATTCCATTCGGAAAAACAACGGTTTGGAGTGGTTTGTGGGCCCATCATTTATCCTTCTCTCTTCAAAAATGGTACCCGTGAGAACGTAACCGTTAACATGATAACCGACTATTTGATGCCTGAAATTGAAAATAGTGATCTCGGCGACAAGTGGTTTCAATGAGACGTCGCTACTTCTTACCTCTCACATCAATCAACAGTTTTATTGAGAGAGCACTTCGGTAAGCAGATAACTTCACGTTTTGGGCCGGTTGCCAATGTTTAAAAGAGAAAAACTTAAAATATTAGGCACGGAATATTCTGTCGAATGATAATTAATATTCTCCATTAAATATAAAGTTTTTTTGTTTTTTCTTTAAAAAGTACGTAATCTCGAAATGTATCACCCTGTTATTAGAATATTCTGCTAAAACATCTGTGGTTTATCTTTAAATTTAACCCTTCTGTTATGTTAATAAAAAGTTACACATGTGATGTTAATATCACGGAATGACCTATCATTTTGTAAGGGTATTCTATAAAAGCTTATGATTTTAGTTTTTTTTTTTCTAATATTTCTTAGCTTTACTAACTACAAATTAAGTATGAACTTAACATTTCATAGATGTATTGATTATAATTTTATTTTGCTCTTAACATTGGTATAAGCCAAGTTTTTCCAGAAAATCTTGCACTTATGCATATGTTTTCGACGCATTCCAGTTAGAGTGAATTTCTGTCCACAAAATCTAGGCATTTAGCGCCGAAACATCCATAATATTCGAGAAGACAGCTAAGAGCCAACGATTAGTTTATCTCTTGCACGTATATGCTTCTATTAATTGGTTAATTGAGACTACTCCAGATTTTGTAGAATCATAAAAATTGAATGTTCTATTGAACAATGATGATATCTATCAAGGAAGAGTGGTAATTGTCTTATTATTTCTCATAGTGCCCATCATTATCATATTATTATTCAGTAAAAGTAATGCCAAATCTCGTGCTGTATTAGTTGACCGATAAACGCCTGTTTCTAAATTATATGTATTTTAGCAAGTACATATATATTATATAAATACGCCATTTGCAGTACCTCCTAATATCAAAATACCAAAAAATCCATTAAATTCTATTTCATCAATTGGTTTATATTTGTCTCCCATTTTTCAGCGCCCTTGATGTTGGTGAACTCTAACACAGGTCAAATGAACTGTATATACTGTAACTGTGGTGTCGTCGAATTATATTTTCTATTCTGGCTCTAGTGGTTGGTAATAGGTTGCTGTCGGTGAAAAGTACACGGGAATGTTACTTATATCAGCTTCGGCAATACTGTCTTCTTCTTCAGTAGCAATGTACCATACTTTTCAGAAGATTCGTCCTCACTATACTT